TATATATATTTATATTTATATTTATATAGGTACAGTGTTCTTGGACATGATACTTTGGGAAATATATTTATTTCATTATCATTTATATCTTATTTTACTTACTTTATTTATATTTCCCCATTTTCTCTAAGAATGTAGTGCAGTTTTATGCCCATAACAACAATACTATCTGGGAGGTTTGGTTTAGAGTGACTTGCTTAAAATTGCACAGTGAGCTCCTTGGTTGAGCGGGAGTCTCCCAGTTTAAAACCAGCATTTAACTTCTATGCTACATAGTTTTTGACTCAGTGTTTTAATTAACAGTACTAAACAGATACAGTACAGGGATGTGGTAATTGTCTGGTCCATCCATATAGCTTTCATTGAATTGGGATAATATCTTGAACTATCTCATTTTTCAGAATGTGGTAGCCTTGCAAGCAACACCTGGAAGCATTACTTTTGAAGTTTTCTGTTGTAGTACTGAAGCAGAGTATTGGGCCTTGAAAAAAAGTGAACTAATATCTTGGGAAAGACGCACAGAGGTTTCAAGGATTTTGTCATAAACAATTTTTATTTTATTTATTTATCTAAAATGAAGTATATTGCAGTTAATTTTTCAGTTTTGTCATGGTGGGATTTTAAGATTGTTATAGAGAAACAATGGATTTACACATTCAGGAAAGACAGCATATTTTCAGAAGTATTTTATAAATGTCTTCATTTACAATTAAAGCATGATTTTAGACAAGCCTTATTGTATTGCATATTCTCCCTTTTTCCCCGCCATTTTGAAGTCAGGATTAAGGTCAAACTTAACTTAAGAATATTAAGTGGTGAACTGCACAATATTTGTATATCCTGATTTTGATTTATTATGTACTCAGTTCAGTTCTTACATTGCATGCTTTCTTGTTATTTTCATGACAAGAAACAGAATTTAAACAGAATTGTGTCTTAAAAATAAGCACTGGATTTCACCTTAATATTCAGGAAGGATAGTGGTGTTATTTGATCAATCATTACTCATTTTAATAATATGTAATATAAATGAATTTTGTTTGTACATACAACACATTTATTGCTTCTGCAGTGTGTTCACATCTTGGCCTATTAAGTAGAGAGACTATTGTGTTTATGGCCTAATTGAACAGTTATATTTCTTTGTGTACAACATTTATGTCAAGTTTAGAACATTTTTTGTCTTATTCAATCTGTATCAATAAGCTGAAAAAATTATGCCAAGTTAGTCCAGAATTGGGTAAAACCTTTATTAGGATCAAAATGCCTGATTAGTATCTTTATTAATGCCTACCAAAATTGCACAAAAAGTATTAAGTTTTCAAGCTGTTCCAAACTCTTGATCAGGTAGTATTTTACCATAACCAGGAAGTGGGGAAGATCACTATTTTTGAAGTCATAGTGATGGGATTTCACATATTTGGGATCCTTCTTTGGAAGTTTCTGAAGGCAACAGTGAGGGAGTGTTCTCCCAATATAATCTACTGCATTGTGCGACCATTGGTGAAAATTGGGTATAAGACATAGAAAGGGTATTTCTGATCTAATATGTGATTGTGCTGTGTATGTCATAGTTGGATTTTAGGGGCAGATACACAAGGCATCATCAACAGACAGATGCTATTTAGCATGTTCTCTCAAGATAGCAAACATTCAGTTTGTTCAGTTGTGTTTTCTCCCATAAATCTTTTAGCATCATGATATACAATATTTGTGTGGTTTGAAATAATTCTCAGGAGCTAAGTATAGCATGTGAATTATTTTATGCCAAATTTACTGTTTGTACATGTTGCTTTCTTTGGTATTAGCAGAGAAAGCCACAGCATTCTAACGATTTTAAGTTAGTCAGAAATAGGTGTATTCACTTAAGTGAGATTTAATTCTCAAATATGAATATAGGACTGCAGCCTAAACATGCAGCCTGACTGTTGTCACAAGACTTTCTGGTAGATGTTTATTATATAATGAATGGATTTCCCCTCTAATATTTGTAAATTGATCCAAACATATTTTTACTTTAGGCAGCACATCTATTAAAGTGAAACAGAATATTTTGCAAGAAAGAAATAATGCCAATATATAGTATATTCACTGCAATTGAATGTAAGAAGAATTTCTTGTACATGTACTACTGTGTTTGGCCAGTGACAAACTGTTCACTTCATTTTTACTTTAACACATACTCAGTTTTTATAATATTTAAATAGTTTCAAATTATATTTTGGTATGCATTCCATAATAACACTTTTTCCATTCATTTAGTGAAACTGGACAAAGCCACTTGTCACCTCATGCAATTCCCTGTGGTCTGTGATGTTCTCTACTCTTAAAAATAAAATTATACATTCTTAAGGCTGTACTTCAGTTCTCTAGCACTCATAACACAAAGTGAAACAGATGAAAAGATAAAGAAAAATGAAAAAAATAGCAAACATTCTGTTCCTTTTTCTGAAAGAGTACCTCTTCCATATGTTGTATTGGATTAAGATACTAAGTTAACCCAGTGTAGACATTTGGAACATACAGATAGTAGGGGTTGGAGTTCTATGTCAGATTCAAATTTCTTGAAGTGAGAAAGCTTATTTGGTTTTGGAGTGTAGATCCTATACTGTTCTGGCCTATGTATACAGTATTAGATACTGCTTGTGGAAACTCTCTATACACAGTATCCAACTCATACAGATCTTTTACTGTGTACAGGTAGTCCTTGACTTATGACCATTCATAATTGCCATTTGCAATCTTCCCTGCCGGCTTCCCCAGAAAGTCAGTGGGGAAGCCAGCAGGGAAGGTCGCAAGTCACTGGAGTAAGTCTCCCCCATCCACACACCCTTCCCCAGCCCTTCTGTGGTCATGTCATCCTGGTTACTTGTGCACCCCCGCACACCTTCCCTGAGCCTTGCTGTATCTTACTCACACACTCCTGGGCACCTTCACACACCCTCATCGTGCCTCCCTCACATCCTCTCTCTCTCTCTCACACACACACATGCACACACAGCAGCAGTCACTTGCCTGCCTGCCAGCCTGCTTACAAACCACTTTGGATTTGCAACTTTCTACTGGCTTCCCCACTGACCTGGTTGTGGGAAGCTGGCAGGAAGTTGCCTTGTCTAACAACCATGGGATTCAATTAATAACAACAACTGGAACTGCAGGGATTGTCGTTGCTAAGCGATGTGGTTGCGCTTTACGACCGCATCATTTCATGATGGAAATTCCAGTCCCAATTGCTGTCATAAGTCGAGGACTACCAGTATATATTAAAACAGTGGAAGTAATCTTTCTGCATTGCTAGCACAGGTACTGGGCTATTGCTAGTGTAATATAAGTGGGTGGTGTTTGTGTGTATTATTGTTGCTTTCTAAAAACTCCGTATTTGCATTTTAGGTGTTTTGCATAGGCACAGTTGTTTCTGTTATATATTCAGTATTTGTGTTGTTAAAAGTAATAAATCTTCAAAAAATTATGACTATAATTGTGGTGCAGGAAAACGTGACAGTTTTGTACAGTTATATATTACCATACAAAATCCACTGCAAAGGAAACTAGGTTATCACGGGAATTTCATCATTATCCTGTTTAGAGATTTGAGTGGCTAGAAAGGAGATGATGTTTTTCCAAGCATTTCCAAGCTATGATTGTGCTCTGTATGTGAACAAATACAGTAGTTTTGCAAATAAGCTGTCCTCTTGTCCAGATCTTTAAATAGAAAATACAGGCACCAATCATTTCTGAAGAGTGAGCTATGGTATCTAATAATATAATGCTGATTTCTTTCAAGGTGGATAATAAATATAAATTGTATTAAATAATGTTTCCTTGCATTCAGATACCTTGAGCAGACTTGGAGCATTTTGTTCCAGAATGACTCTTCAGTGTTGATGTAATCTTAACATTACTTAGTTTGGGAATAAATGAGATCCAAGTATTTGATGAAGTATTTTTATTAGTAATACTTTTAGTTTTTAATATATTTAATAGCTTCCTGTTTCCAACACAGCTGTACATATGGTTCTCTAAAAGACAGACTTCAGAGTCACTAGAGTATTACAAAAAGAGATATTTTAATATTCTGCATAATGCTGAAACTTATAAGCAATTCCCCTGTGTATGTGTTTCTTTTTGAAAAATGAAGGATAACAGCTGATCTAGAATTCTAGGAAGACTGCAGAGCATGCAAATTGCTGAATTTTCTTTTTATCAGGAAAAGATGTATTTGCCAGGCATTGTGACTTTAAAGATGTATCCGGCCACAGTTCAATAGCCTGAATATTAACACTATTTAAGTTGCTGTTAGTTATGGCTTAGGCTCATTTCTTTAAAAATAACATGAGTGATGAAGTTGAAACTGAAGTGCCTTCTCTATTGCAAAATTTAATATCTTCACTCTGGCACAAGACTTAAGGATTTTTTGTTGGGAGGGTTCTTTTATGAGTATGAATAAACTTCAGCTGTTGGGAAAAAGATTATTGGAATTCCTACTTCAGATTTGGAACAAGTGGTAGTTATTACAGTCCTTGAATTTTTAAACCAAGAACACCTGAAATAGTCTTATTGCTTCCTTCATGACTATCTGAATTTGTAGATCATGACAATATAGTGACCTAAGGCCTGTTCATTAGTTAGCTAATTCCTGGAGACAAACTCTGATCTGCTTTAAGCCTTTGGTGTGCTTATTCTTTCCCTCAGCGCAGAGTAAATTAAAGAATGAATGTATCATTTTTGTTTAGATGGTCAAAAAATAAAACATTAAGGCTGCAGTTCTGCCTCCATAGAACTCCCATTAGTAGGATTTATTTCTAAGTAGAGAGGAATATGGCTGTACTATTAAGCTTATCTCAGAAATAATGGAGGATATGGGGGGAGCGAGGTGGTCTGAATGTTCACACATGTAAATATATAAATGTAAAAAAAAGTCACATTATTACTTTCTTGTTTCTGGCCAAGCATATTTCATTAAATTTGTTTATTTATTGGAAAGTAGCCATTGCCATTCAAAACTATACTGAAACTTTCAGTATTGTTTCTTTTTGAAAAATGAAGGATAAGAGCTGATCTAGAATTCTAGGAAGACTACAGAGCATGCAAATTGCTGGATTTTCTTTTTATCAGGAAAAGATGTATTTGCCAGGCATTGTGACTTTAGTTTGTAGCAGTACCATAGCAAGAATAAATGAAAGTATTGAATCACTATAGTTTTAGTTGCGTCTTGATATATTTCCTAATCCATGATTTTGGAATATTCTAAAATCTTAATTAGTGTCTAAACTAATATGGCTTTTTTAACGCTTGGGTACAAAGGAATGCTTCCAGAATGGAAGCATAATTTTTTATTACTTCTGACCTTCACAATAAAAATATAATTGTATATTCTCTCATATGTTATGGTTCTTCATTCACTACATCATCCAATTGTACAAACATTTTTTAACAAAGTACACATAATATGAAAAGCTAATGTTTTACTATATTCCCTCCAAAAAAGGTTATTCTCTTGGATTGGACAGATTAATAGAAATTTCAGTGATGACAGTATGGGGGTTGAAAGGCAAATTAGATTGGAAAACTGGAAATACCACCTTTTCCTTCCCCAGAATAATGAAACCAATATGATATTATTTATCAGTTTTATTATTTATGGGATTTGTTTTTATCTTATAACAACACAGAAAGCTGTAGTATGATGCAAAAATGCATGTCTATATATCATTGAATATTACATATAAAAAACCCTACATCCATATAGCTAAGTTCACACACAGGGTTTTTTCCTGTAGGGAACTGATGTCATTTGACTGATGTTTGTGTGGGACAGGAATTAATCAGCATGCTTATAAGGTAAGCATTCTGGATTTTGAATGTCCAAAGAGGGCTAAGCATTCAGTGTCTCATAACTTGCCACCCTTTTATTGCAAGACATTCCCTATGGGGCTGCCTTTAAGAAAGACGTGCTAGCTGCAGTAAATATATCAACAGATTGCCGAAAGGAATGGCATGTGGAATATGTATAATACTAGTTTTAAAATAACTGCTGTGTTTTAATTTGCTTCTGGTTTTAATTCAAGATGCTAATAAAAATGATAATCTTAAACAGTTTGGTTTGAACATAGTGATAGAGTTCATAATACTGTGCTAAGCCATATTATAGTTTAATTTTGGCTTAATGTATTGTAAAGAGTGAGTTAAGATTTAGCATGTTGTGTGAAACTGGTCAAATATGGCATGTTGCTTAACAGCACATTGGTGAGCAAATAATAGCTAGGTTGTTTTAAATGGTCTTACAGACCTTGGGACTCGCTTCATAGCCATATTGAGGGATATCAATAGAAAAAAAAATACTGAGAGGTGCCTGGAGATAGGAATAAAAGCAGCAATAGGCAAACTATGGGTTGATGCCCCTCTAAAATTCAGTGGGAAAATGGCCAAGCTTTGGTGGCATGATCACTATTCTTTCAGTTTAGACTCTACTCCCCAAATAAAGTACAGGAATAATATTTAAGTCGATTATTATGGATTATGGAAGCAGTGTAAATTATTTTTTTTAATTGAATATTGTACTGTATATTAACTTATATATGAAATCTATGGGGTCTGACCTTGAATTAGGTCCAGAACAGCTGTGTCAGAAACCAGCTGTGTGATTGAGGGAACAAGATGATTAAAACATATGACTCTCATATTGCACCAACTGCATTAGCTAGTGGTGCATTTCTAAGCTGAGTTCAAAGCACTTTCACTAAGTGATCTGGAATGGAGGACCTTCTCTTTTGCCCTACTTTGGCAGCCATTAAATTGGCTATTAAGAGATAGCCTTTTTGGCAATGTCCTATTCACCTGTGGAATGCCTTATCAACAGGATTCCCATTAGACCATCATTGTCAGTTTTCAATAAGTTGTATAAAACTGTTTATCTTAAGTCTTTGAAATGGTATTTTGTTTCTCTACTCTGAGTTTTAGTTTGGAACTCATTTTAATACAGTTTTAATTGCTGCAATTTCTTGAAGTTTTATTAATATTTGCATGTTTTATTGTATATGATTCTGATTTTTATTAATTTTTTTGCACGTGAAATTTTATTCTTCTAAGATGCTTGTGCTAAAATTTGGCCAAGGAATGCTTTTTGAAATAAATATATTTAAAATTGTACTCCAAACCCGCTGATTTGTGTATATTATACATTTACTTTTTGTAATCTTATATAACTGCAGAAAAATAATATAAAATGGAACCATAATAGGATTTTGACGCATGCTTATTCAACTAACAGCATACTATCTTTTTTTTAAGATGGTTTACTCTAGAGTCCAAGCAAGGGAAACGAACTAAAGACAGAGGTGAGATAAAAGTCAACATTCAGTTTATGAGAAACAACATGACGGCAAGCATGTTTGACCTGTCAGTTAAGGACAAAACTAAATCTCCTTTTGCTAAATTAAAGGACAAAATGAAGGGTCGTAAGACAGATGGAACATTTTTGGATACATCCTCTGCAATCATTCCAAGTACTCATATGCCAGAAACTAGCAATACAAGTTCCCTCAATGAATTACAGTTAAAATCAAAGCCAAAAAAGCCTTTTCTTTTGGGACCTCAGCGACTCTCTTTGGCTCACTCAATGTCTGATCTAACTGGACCTCAGATAACTTCAGAAAAAATAAAATCAGGCACAATTGGCAACATATACCTCTTCAGACGTCAGCTTGAGTCTGTTGGTTCTGAGGATGAAAGTGGTAAGTAAAGATTTCTTAAGAAGTAAGTTTTACTTGACAAGGCATTCTAGCAGGATTACTCCAAACCCCATATCTTTATGCTGTTACTCCTAAGAAACATAGTTGCTATAAATTTGAGATAGAACAGAATTCAAATAAAGATCAATAGAATATATCATCAATAATTCTGTTTTAATAGCTTATAATTCTTATCACTTTATCACTATATTCAGTTTTGCTTCCCTATTGTTGTAATTTATTTTAAAAATAGGTTTTGGGTATACAAAGGTCCAAAGTTCCAAGTTTCAAATGTTTTTACCTTGAAACAGACATTCTGCATCTTCCATGATTGAAATGAGAGTTTTGTTTTGAGCTTGGAACAAACCTTGATAGTTTTTGAGTGTTTTGTGCTGTGATGGGACATGTTATCTTGCAGTTGGGTTGACTTTTTCCAGATGTTTCCAGCCTAGCCAGTACAGCAGGTGAGACTGATTTATTGAGCTTTTGGGGGAGGGGTGCAGAATGTACATAGTCTTGAATCTAGTTGATATTGAGATGCATTTAAAACTGAAAATACTTTTTATGTTTTGATTGATTTGTTATCTTCACGTGCACTCTGTATATATGAACTTGTGATCTGTGCTTTAGAATATATTTCAGTACAGCTTTTACTGGTTTGTAGAGTCTAATAGTATTAGTGGTGTATTTATTTTATGCTGTTGTATTTTTGTTGTTATGATTTACCGTACTCTTATTCATGCTAGAGTTAGAAGAAGTGCTTTGTTCCTACAACACATAACTGCTTTTTCCTGGAGTTGTGCAAAACTTGTATTTGAATTTGTTAATAATAATAGAAACAAAACAAAGCATAAAACTGGACTTGTGCTTGAACTTTTTTTTTTTTAATTTCCTCAGATCCCAATAGAATTTCTATGGGGATTTTTTAATGATTAATTTTTTAAAAAGAAGTTCCTTTTTTAAATTATTTTTAATAATAATTTTTATTAATGTTAAAAAAATACTCTGGTTTAAAAGAAATTCCTGTGGCCAAGTTTTCTGCAAGTTGGATGGTAGATAAATAATCAAAATGTGTTAATATTTTCAACTACTCTTATGGCCCTGAGAGGAAAACAAAGGAGCAAGGGAGTTCTGCTGAATTCCCATTGCTTTCTTTGATTAAACCCTCTAAATTAAGTTTTATCCTTGTGGAACACAGTCAACTCAGTTGGAATGTTTCTATTTAGACTGTTTTTTCCAAGCTTGAAACAAAATCTGTTTTCCACACTATACACCATACTATGCATATTATACATCATCCTTAAACTAGAATTTTCAGATTGGATCACATGTGTCATTAAGATACAGAATCAATATCACAGTGACAAAAACATGGCAACATTTTAAACATTTGAATCTTCTGGAAAGGCCTGGGGTAAACAAAATGGTGTAGTGTGTGTTAGGCCTATCAGCTTGTTAATATTGGTTCTTCCCAGTGAAGCAATGATTATAACTTGTTCAGATCATTGTATAATTTAATTTACGATGTTGCGAAATACATTGTATTCTGATCATGTGACCGCATGCATGTATTATTAAAGCATTCCAAATCAACTCATGAGAAAGGGTAGTTATAAAATACATTAATTTTGTTTTGTTAATTACTATTAGCTGCCTTGAAATAGTTTTTGGGTGTAAAGTCAGGCTCTAAACTGCCAAAAAAAAATGAGTATACTATTTTTCCCCTTCCTAACGTTATGGTCATCCTCCACATGTAGAAAAACTTTTAGTGCAGTAGTGCATTTTTGCTATCCATAGAAGTTCTTAAGTAGATTGCAGTGCATATGGAATTTTATAAGAAAGCCATAGCGCTAACATAATATTTTAGTGGAAGAATTTATTATATGGTCAGATGCTTGTTGAAACTGTTGGACTTCATTCCGCCAAAGCTAGTATTTTCATGGTCTATATTTGTAAAATAATTTAACAGCTGTTTAAATTATACATTAAATTATAACTTATAAAAATAGTAATATATTTTGTGTATGTGCGTGTTTTATATTGGTGTATTTGAGTCTAGTTGCATACTAATAATATTGTTTTCAGGAAATCTAAAATCTCCACACAGGCGGACATTAAGTGCAGATACCACTAAAGTGAATCAGCTAGACAACACAATTGATGACAGTGACTCAGCTTTTGTAGCTCAAAATGACCCTTTTACAAATGTGAGTGCTTCATTGCCTCAAAAGTTTGCCACATTGCCAAGACAGAAGAATCCATTTGAAGAAAACCCTTTATCATGGGAACAAAATATGGGCCTGTTTTCAAAACCTCCTGAAATAAAAAAAGACATTAAGAAAGAAAAAAAGGAGAAGGTTAGTCTCTTTGAAAGAGTAACTGGAAAGAAAGATGGTAAACGATCAGATAGACTTAGTAATGGAGGATCTGAAGGCTCCTCTGACTTGAAATCACCCAGTGCTTTTGCTGAAAGTCATCAGGACAGCTTTGATTTTGATTCCACTAATCCTTTTACAACAAACTTCAAGCCAAAAACTGTGCTGCCATCTAGGTAAGTTCCTTATTTAGATGTCTTTAAGTTGGTGGTTACTTTTTTCTTTTTATTAGAATATATTTATTATATTTGTTCTGAGAGATCATTATTTAATTTTTTAAAAAATCAAAAATATTACAATCCTGGATAGATACTTAAGTGCTGTGATGGAGCTAGCCTAGGTAGGCATTGTGGAACAATAATTCTGTCTGTACAAACAGTTTTACCATTCTATTATATGAAAGCCAATGTACCCTTAAGTTGCAGAATTATCTGGCAAAGAATTAAGGACCCGTTGTGCTTTAAATCATCAAGCAAAGCCTCTGCATGTCCATTATTAAAAGGCTGAATAGTGTCTATGTAGCTGAACACAAATATGTGTGCTTGGGGAACCCACCTACTTATTCCCAGTTTTTTAAATGATTGAGGTGCACCTACTTCCTCAGAAGGCATCTCACTTTGTTTGATACTTGCATTATTGAACAAATGACTTTATTTAAAATTATTATTACAACTATGGATTTAACTCTTATGTCTTTATTTTGATTCCTTTGACTTTGTGGGTAAAATATTTCTAAGAGCGGGAAAGTCTGAAGCTTTCTGTCAGTAACACCAAGCCCATTTATCAGCACTGTGTGAATGGATCTTGAACTTGTACTTATTCTTGCTTTGCTTATGTACTTGGTCTTCTCACATCCACTTTATCAGCAAACCAGAGTTTGATGTTCCTTCATAATTGAGTGGACTGTGATTTGCCACAAAATTGAAAGAGAAAAGCAAAGGGAATGCATGACAGAGTAAGCAAGAACAGAGTAAATTCCAGAAATATTCCCTTTATTAGATCTTTGTATCAATGGTATTAAAATGTGAATGTGGGCAATATGTGTGGGGGATAGCAACAAGGAGCAAGGCCACCAGGAAGGGAAAGGAGACAAAAGACAACACAGTCCTCAGGGGGAGCATGGGAAGCATAAGAGGTTCAGGATAGCCACTCCCTAGAATCTCCCAGGGTATATCCAATAGTTGCAATAGTATAGATTTACTCTGGCAAGATTCTGTCTACATGGTGTAAGCAAACAAAGGAACTTAACTCAACTGGACAGTTTCACCATTGCTTCTTGGACTGGGCCTGACATCAGTCTTGCCAGACTCAATCTATACTACTACAACTAGTGGATATATGCTGGGAGATTCTAGGGAGTGGCTGTCCTGAACTTCTTATGCTTCCCATGCTCCCCCTGCGGACTATGTTGTCTTTTGTCTCCTTTCCCTTCTGGGTGGCCTTGCTCTCTGTTGCTATCCCCCACGTCAGCCTCCTCTTTGTAGATACATTTCATCACAGTATGTCTAGTTAGCACATTCCATTGCCCTAGTTGTTAAATGGTGGAGAACTATTGGCATAATCAGTAAATGCAAGTACTAAGGATATATCAGATTAGCTTAAAAGCTACAGTATAACCCCACATAGCTTTGTCTTTTGTAGTCTCTTGATGTCATACTTAAATTAATTCAGCCTAGTGAGTAAACTGACAAAGCTACTAGCTTATGTTGTGCTTGCTTACAAACATTTTTAAAATTGGTTCTCTCAAACTTTGTACAATGTTTAGTGTTTTTAAAAGAAAGTATTTGCCATTTCTTTCCCACCAAGAACCGATTGGAGGGAATATGATTTAAAAACTAAAACAAAAGCATGGTCTTAAGTCATACTTCAGTCCTCCTCGAGATCTTCTTACTCAAACACAAACATTTATTTCAAAGGTGTATATGCAGCTCTGCAGTCATGATCAGGTCAGCTTATAATAAAAATAAATAAAATTAAAATATGGTTTGGACAAAATACAGGTAGTCCTCACTTAATGACCATTTGTTTAACAACTGTTCAAAGTTACAGTGGCACTAAAAAAAGTGACTTACAACCTGTGCCTGAAGTTATGACCATTGTAAGCACCCCTGCGGTCACAAGATTGCAATCTGGGCGATTGGCAACCAGCTTGCACTTAAAATGGTTATGGTGGCCTGGGGTCACGTGATCACCATTTGCGACCTTCCTAGCTAGCTTCCAGCAAGCAAAATCAATGGGGAAACCATGTGATTTGCTTAATGACCACATGATTCACTTAACAACTGTGGTGATTCACTTCACCACCACTGCAAAAAAGGTCTAAAATTGGATCTGGTCACATGATGATTCACTTAACAACCTCATCGCTTAGTGACCTAAATTCTGGTCCCAATTGCGGTTGTTAAACAAGGACTACCTGTAAATGTAAAGACCTTCTCATATCAATAAAATGACCTATTTGGGGGGATTTTTTTTCTTAGGAAATATTAGCATTAGTAGGAAAAAAATAATATTTTTTTAGGATATACCTTTTCCTTAGTAGTCATGTGCTTTAGCTTACCCAGTGAAACTTCTAGAAGCTTCAGAGGACTATTTTAAGATTTGGGTAGGAATATACAGAGATTACAGCAGTGAAGTGCTTTAGATTTTTAATCCTTGAAACAAGTACAGTTGTTTTAATGAGTCAGAAACAGGTGTTAGGTTCATGTTTCCACATGGTCTAATTCACATTTTTGGAAGTGATTCTGAAGCATTGCACAACCCTTACGGACACAGTCTGTCCTTCAGGAACCTTGTTGCCAAACAGTAATGGACCCTGTTTTTTTTTTTTTTAAGACACTTTAAGCAGAGATTAGAAATGCACTGAGAGCCATAAAATTGTCATATTACCTGTGTCATGTGCTTTTACCTCCAAAGTAAAATTGGCATTTTTTAGCTGTATACTAACCTAATGAAATGTCCAGATTGTCTTAAAAGAAATCTGCATATTATTTTGAAGAGTAACATGCTGCACTTATAACTGCTGTGAAAAATATCAAAAGCCACTGTTTTATACCTTTTTTCTTTCCTTTCTATTTTTCTTTAACTTTCTTTTCTTGCACTTTTTGCTTTCTCTTTGCTTTCTTTTTCTCTTTTCCTCTTTATATTAGTTTGTATTAGTTTATCTTTTTTTTAAGTTTTAATAAAAAAATTATATATATGTATGTGTATGTGTGTGTGTAACTTGCTATTTATACCTGAAGTCAGTTTACTGCTGTTGAGATTTTTTTTTTCCCCCTCATCGCCCTAAAAGAAAGTCCTGGTGAGTAGAAATAGCTTCAGAGTAATTGACTTTTTGTACCTACTGCTATAGAATCTATAGCTCGACTAATTCTTTGTTAATGACAAACCTATATTAGATCATTGTTTTCCTTTAGCAACAATAGAATTAATATTTTGTAATCCTAATTACACTTTTCAGAGTTTCTCTTTAAAGTTACTTGATCACTTTCATTAGTTAATGGCACCATTCATCATAGTAGCTCTCCAGGTGTTAATGCGTAGCTCTCATAGCAGTCCTGTGCACTGAACATACTTAAGAACAAATGTCAAATAAAATACTGGTTTTCCATAATATAGATAGCTCTATGTGCAACATTTCTATAAAAAATGTTTGTTTTTATGCTACACTACAGTAGGCTAATACACTAATGTGAAAATTTCTCAATTTACAGCACTTGACAGGTGCTAAAAGAAAAGCATCTTTAATTTTAATGTGTTGTTAGGCCCTCTTTAGAGGGATTGTATAAGTTATTAACAAGGTCCTCTGAGACAGGAGACGGGTAATTAACAAGACCTACAGAAAGAGAATTTGGGTAATTAACAAGCTCTTAGGCACTGGACACAGGGTAACAAATAGTCCAGTAGTTAAAGGCGACAGGTTGTTACTAGCATGATTGAATGCCAGGTTTCAGAATGTGAATAGATAGGTGTCTCAATGAAGTGTTTAATTAGATTATTATGGTTGATTGCATAGTCAGCCAGATGTTTAGACTGCATTTGGCATTTTTATCCACCTATCGAGTCCTTCCCAAGAACCTGGGATAGGCAGATGTTGTTGTTTGATGGTGTTAAAGGTATCGTCAGAGGATATAAGCTGTTGCAAGTAAAGCTGCCTTTTCCAATTGACTGATGGTGATTTTGCCAATGCTGATGGTCTTCAAGTGGTGCTCCAGACGTTCTGGGATTGTACCTAAGGTGCCTATAACTATTGGCACTATCTTTGTTTTCTTTTGCCATAGTTGTTCTACTTCTACAGTGGGGCAAAAAAGTATTTAGTCAGCCACCAATTGTGCAAGTTCTCCCACTTAAAAAGATGAGAGAGGCCTGTAATTTTCATCATAGGTATACCTCAACTATGAGAGACAAAATGGGGGAAAAAATCCAGAAAATCACATTGTCTGATTTTTAAAGAATTTATTTGCAAATCATGGTGGAAAATAAGTAATGGGGGAAAAAATCCAGAAAATCACATTGTCTGATTTTTAAAGAATTTATTTGCAAATCATGGTGGAAAATAAGTAATGGGGGAAAAAATCCAGAAAATCACATTGTCTGATTTTTAAAGAATTTATTTGCAAATCATGGTGGAAAATAAGTAATGGGGGAAAAAATCCAGAAAATCACATTGTCTGATTTTTAAAGAATTTATTTGCAAATCATGGTGGAAAATAAGTAATGGGGGAAAAAATCCAGAAAATCACATTGTCTGATTTTTAAAGAATTTATTTGCAAATCATGGTGGAAAATAAGTAATGGGGGAAAAAATCCAGAAAATCACATTGTCTGATTTTTAAAGAATTTATTTGCAAATCATGGTGGAAAATAAGTAATGGGGGAAAAAATCCAGAAAATCACATTGTCTGATTTTTAAAGAATTTATTTGCAAATCATGGTGGAAAATAAGTAATGGGGGAAAAAATCCAGAAAATCACATTGTCTGATTTTTAAAGAATTTATTTGCAAATCATGGTGGAAAATAAGTAATGGGGGAAAAAATCCAGAAAATCACATTGTCTGATTTTTAAAGAATTTATTTGCAAATCATGGTGGAAAATAAGTAATGGGGGAAAAAATCCAGAAAATCACATTGTCTGATTTTTAAAGAATTTATTTGCAAATCATGGTGGAAAATAAG